CACACACACACAAGTTTAAACCACACAACCGTTTGGGTTTGACCAGGGTTTCACTCACACAATCCGCCCTCTTTTCTCCTCACGGAGCACGTGGGCCACCATCTTAATACTTGAGTGCAAACTCCTTCTTCTCTAATTCATCTCATGCTCCTCCCATGTTCAGGAGGCCCCAAAGCCTCCCGTTAGGGGTCATTGACACTTTTTAACCAAAAATTGGACACCAAAATCGAATTGAACCGAGAAACTTTATTCTTAGGTTTTTTGGTCCTCAGGTTTTTTTTATCTAAGATGGCTCAGTATTCAAACAAACATTCAGAGTTTGCAAGATCCTGGATACAACCAGGAATACAATGAAAATACATCGAGTGAGGAACGAGTTCACTCGATCTAGTGTACACATGAGCCACCTCATTAGCTCTATGGCTTACATGAACAAAAGAAACGAAAGAAAAACTACTAGCCAATGATTTGATCTCTACAAGAATTGAGCTCGTGGCGGACCTATCTCTAGCAGCAACATTCAACTTTATAACCAGAGTAAGACAATCATATCGAAATACCAAATTGTGGAAGCCTTCCTCCCAAGCAAGAGCAACAACACTTCATAAAGCTAGTGCTTCAGCAATTTTGGCGTGGTGGTGCAAACAAAAGATGAAAAGATTGACAACAAGCCATCAGACACGTGCCTCTATGGTATCTAATCACCACGCCACTTGCCGAGCTCGAAGAAGAGAGAAGACCGCAACATCAATTGTTCACACAAACTAGACCTGATGATGGTGGAGCCCACTTTTAAAAATTGTTCCGGAATTTAAAAAATGATCAGAATTTTAAAAGAAAAAAGAAAAGGGGGGCAACCAAAAAAGATATAAACTAAAAGGAAAAGATAAAGGAAAAATGCAAAAAAAAAGAACAACTCCAAAGCTTCCAAAATTGAAAAAATGGTTGGAACCTTCCCAAAAGGGAGTACAGTAATGCCTGCTCGAAACGCCCTATAGGTGATCACGGCGATGATCAAGTAGTCGATAGTATATATCTTTTGTGATATACGGAGTGCCTATACCTCACTTCTTGCAAGATGCATGAGACGATCGCCTATAATGCAACTCAAATGGGCTGGGTCCAAGATTCTGTGTACAACACAACAATGTAGTGTACATTGACAATATACGCACAATGAGGTAGAGTATACCCATATTTGTTTCTCCTTTTTCCTTTTCTACTTTTGTTTATATTTTAAAATTTTCTAAATACATATATTCAAAAAATTAATGTACTTAATTTTTCAAAAGCGCCCATCGCACATTAGAAAAATGTTAATGTTGTGTCAAAAAAGTTATTTGCGTAATTTAAAAAAATGTTTGTATCATCCAGAAAAAATATTTCACATGTATTAAAAAAATGGTCTTTTTTATTTGTGTCCCTAACTCGAACCCACTAATCGGATTTGTCCCTAATTTTGTAGTCTGCTCAAAGTTGCCCTCTTCCATTAGTTGCCCTTCTGAGTTGTTACCGTCTGGTCAAAGGGGTTTGACCATCTCAAAAAAATAGCACAAAAATCAAAAGAATCTAAAATTTTGTGAGATCGAAGGTACTCAAGTGGGAAAGGTGCGCGCAATTTTTTGTGCTGTTTAGACATACTAGGAGCTCGTGGCAACGGAAAACAATAAATCTGTACACCAATGAATAGTAAATTCAAAAAAACTAGCAAGAAAATTAAAAAAATATGAATTATTTTGGCATCCAAGATGCTCGTGTGCGCAAGGTGTGTGCAAAATTTTATTTTGTTTGGACGTTGTAGGAGCACGTGGAGAAAAAAATAAGATTTGGCTCGGAAAAAAACTTTAGAAAACTACAAGTGTGGGTTTTTTTTTGCTAGAACTCCTCGCATGTCATTTGATAACAAAAAAATTCACACATCTTGCGCACCCGAGCATCTTGGATGCCAAAAAAAATCTTATTTTTTTGAATTTTCTTGATATTTTTTAAATTTACTATTCACAGGCGTACAGATTTATTGTTTTCCGTTGCCACGACCTCCTAGTATATCTAAACAACACGAAAATTTGCATGCACCTTGCGCACTTGAGTACCTTTGATACCACAAAATTTCAGATTTTTTGATATTTTTTTTTGCTATTTTTAGTGAGACGGTCAAACCCCTTTGACCGGACAGTAATAGCGCAGAAGGGCATTTCTATAAGGGAAACTAACGGCAGAGGGACAAATTTGAGTAGGCTTCGAAATTAGGGGCAAATCGGACTAGTGGGTTCGAGTTAGGGACACAAATACAAATGGCCCTTAAAAAATGTTCAACGATTATTTGGAAAATGTTCAACAAGTACTAAAAAAAATTGAACATGTATTTTACAAAAATGCTCATCAAATGCTTAGTGTGTATAAAAAGTTCAGTGCTTATACAAAAAATGTACATCAGGTTATCAAAAAAAAGTTCGGTGTCTATTAGAAAAAATCACAATGTATTTTGAAAAAATATTCAATTTCTATCAAAAAATGATTCACGTGTATTTTGCAAATGGTCAACGTGTATTAAAAATGTTCAACATGTGTTTGGAAAATGTTTAATATGTATTCAGAAAAATGTCCGAACATGTATTTGTAGAACAATGTTCATCTTGTTTTTCAAACAATGTTAAGCATGTATAAAAAAATGTTCAGCATGTAAATTAAAAAATTACAATGTATATACTTTTTAAAATGTTTACTTGAAAATCATGTATTTTGAAAAAAGGAATCCATGGTGTATCCGAAAACTGTTTCACACATATTGAAAAAATATAATTAACATGTATTGAAAATATATTTGATTTGTACTTAAAAAATTTAACTTGTATTAAAAATTCAAACAAGTATTTGAAAAATGTTCAACATGTATCAAAAAGATTCAGCGTGTCTAAGATGAGTTTAAATGTTCACATGTATTCTAAAAATTTAAAAAAGATAAAATAATAATAATGTTTTATTGAATGAACAGAAAAAGGAAAAGAAAAAGGAAATAAATGAAAATTATATAAAAAACAGAAAAATCAAAAAGAAAGAAGATGGTCGGAGCCTTCCTAAACCGATGGAAGGTTCCACGAAATGGTGCTCACGCCCTTCCGAAAACCGCTTGACTGAGCTGGTCCACTAAGAGGACATAGCAGTGAGCACAACAGGCGAGACACGACTAAGAAGTTTAACTTGTATTAAAAATTCAAACAAGTATTTGAAAAATGTTCAACGTGTATCAAAAAGATTCAGCGTGTCTAAGAAAAATGAAGATGTGTTTAAATGTTGACATGTGTTCTAAAAGTTTAAAAAGGATAAAATTATAATAAATTTTTTATTGAATGAACAAAAAAAAGCAAAATAAAAAGAAAAAGGAAAGGAAAATAAATGAAAACTATATAAAAGAAAACAGGAAAAAAAAAGATGGTCGGAGCCTTCCTAAACCGATGGAAGGTTCCAGCAAAACCGCTTGACTGAGCCGGTCCACTAAGACGACATAGCAATGAGCACAACAGGCGGGACACGACTAAGATCTCATAATAGGTGGCACAAAGCTCTCGCGGTGCTTTGGACTAGCCAGTGAAAAAGAAAAAAAGCTAGAATTTTCAATAGTGAGACCAGCTCACGCCCTTCCGAAAACCGCTTGACTGAGCTGGTCCACTAAGAGGACATAGCAATGAGCACAATAGGCGAGACACGACTAAGAAGTTTAACTTGTATTAAAAATTCAAACAAGTATTTGAAAAAGTTCAACGTGTATCAAAAAGATTCAGCGTGTCTAAGAAAAGTGAAGATGTGTTTAAATGTTGACATGTGTTCTAAAAGTTTAAAAAAGATAAAATAATAAAAAAAATTGCGGGTTCAAAACTTGTATTACTCAGATAGTATCAGTACAATCCATCGCAACCAAATCTACCACATCCGGAGGAGCCGAACCAATCCAGGTCATGGTTCTACCTTGAGCTCTACCAAAAGCAGCTAGACTATCGCTGGCCTTATTTTGCGACCGCGAGACATGAGTAATACAAGATTGACGAAGAGTAAGAAGATATCTAATCTCCTTTATAAGAAAAGTATAAGCAGACCGATCACAACTATCACATGTGATCATAGAAACCGCCACAAGAGAGTCCATTTCGACTTCAACAGGCAATTCTGATCGCTGCAAAGCATAGGAGATGCCCTCCATACAGGCACATAGTTCAGCCTCCAGAGCATCTCTACAGGAGAATAGAGCCCTGCACGCCGAGAAGATGATTTTGCCAGCCGAGTCTCTCAGAATCATCCCTGCACTGACTAGTTCACTGGAGACAAAAGACCCATGTGTATTAAGTTTTACCCA